ATTATTACAATTATTATTATTCTCATTATCATTGCCACTGTTATTATTGTTACTTCATGCATTATTATTGCTGTTCACTCGTACTTCTTTCTTAGCAACGAGAAATTTACTAACTTAGATATAGCTACCAAATTTGAGATATTCTTCCTCATGTTGTTAAAATCTTCCGTCAAATTTGAGCCTTCAACCGTTGGAATAGAAATTTGCTGCAGCTGATCATCCAAATTCCTTAGTTCGGCAAATGAGTTCTACAAAAGTAAAATCGGCAGATGTAAAAGCGCCACTGAAAAACCAGAATGATCTACTGTTTAACATTTTAAACCTAGAATTGTTGCGATGCTAAAATGCCTGCTCTTGGACCATCTTGGCTACATTTATGAGGGGCCTCTTAAATCCAGTGAAATGCGACCCAAATAATAGGAACTAAGGCTGGGATTTTTTAAATTTTTTCATTCGAAATAACAGCTGGTCCTCCAGACATGTCTCAGTACCCTAAGGCAGGAAAAACGAAAGATTTGTTGTTTTTGTGAAAAAAAACTCCTCTCAAAAGTTTTCCTATTTCGAATTAATACTACTAAGGAATTCCCAATATAACAGACCTGCATCCTCAAATCTCTTTTCTTATCAACACTATAATTCCACTCTGAAAAAATTTATCAGAAAACGTGATGGGAATGCGAAAAGCAGCGATGAGGCTCCTCAAAATGCGCTAAAGGTTTGTAAATGTAATATGAAAACATATGAGATGTGAGAATTTTTCAGAAGCAGCTGAAATCAACTTACAGTAATTTGTTCTAATTTGTCCTCCGGTAAATCGTAGTCCAAACTGAGATCCCTAACAGTGTTGATCGCCTTCTCCCTTGCGCTCCTTATATAAGAACTGTTCATTATTTCGTCAAAATTGATCAGTTTTTTGAGTCCCAGTGCGGCAAGGATTGTTTGATTATTTCGACACTGTTCGATTACCTCCCTAGATCAGTCAAATGATTCAAAATGGATTTTCAGACTGAAGCCTCAATGTTCCCGGGTTGTGATCACGTCCTCACAGTTCTCATAGCAGGTTTTCTTTTTCAAGATTTCAAATGTCATCCACTGTACATTAGAATCATGGATCATCAGTTTTAGATCAAAATGCCAAGGTATTGATACTTTGCAAGCTTTCTCCTAAATTCTTACACCCCTAAATTAGTCAAGTAGTTGTAAAATATATTAAAAATGCAAAGATCGCTTGATTATCGGAGCTTATTATCTATGCCCATGTGTACTCTAAATCTGGCTTGGAGACCAAATTCCTTTAGGACATGAACACGACATATATTCAATATTATTGCAACCTCAAAAACCCAGGCTGGAACACACCAGGCTTCCGGTGTGATTATGCGTTTTTGCATGATTCTATCCTGTGGAAAGACCGCCTGTACTACTAGAGTTTGATTCTCTTCATTATGCTTGCTGCTTTTTTCCTCACTTTTCCTTGTTTTCTGTTTCTCCCATTAGTCCATCAAAGATATCAAAAACACCAAATCCGCCTGGTTTAATGGTGGGGGGACCCCACACTAGCGGTGTTGCCAGCGATATTATTGGATTACTCTTAGAAGCCGGGTAGAATTATTCCAGGACATTCAGACTTGAATTACACACCCCAAGTTAGTGCCTACCGTTT